TGGCTAAAGAATCTGGCTAAATTGTGTGACAACACGGCTACTTTAAGTACTCACCGAAAAAGGCCCCGCATCAATGCAGAACCTTTCTACTAAATCCCGGCGTTGTACGAATGGATGACACAATGCATCATGCAAAACCTGGTACGTTGCAAGGGAGCCTCCTCTTCGTTTCCATACCATCAACATCTTGAAACCCTTTTGCCTAAGTTCTTCGTTATCGTGATGGAATGCATCTATTTCTGCTTCCCGAAACTGAAGTCGTCGAGCTAGGGATTCCCAAGATGTACCCAGCTGGACTGACAACAATTCCAAGTCTTTGTTAACCACTACACCATGTTTGATTTGTATACCTAAAAAACAAAACCAAAGATAAATAGTCTCCTTCCTCCTTCAGTCTTTCCATCCATCCACCCATCTTACAGGTGTTTCAAATTGAAGCATATTCCTATTTTTTTGTTGTTGTAGTCAATTTTCCTCTCTCCTTTTTCGTTCATTTAGTTCTTTTAGTGGTGATTTGCATCCTTTGCGGCTAAACAGCACGAGGATGTGTACAAAAGCTTCTTCGAAAGAAAACACAATTACATCAACAATTACATCATTTAAAAAAGCTAATCAAGTTCCCTTTCGTTTAAGATCCCACTGCATTAATTCCTCTTCAGCAAGGCGTTCTGGTACCTTCGGACGTACATGTACAAGGAGGGCTGGGAGGGGGAGGCAATGCATCCCCGCCAAAAAGAGGGTATAAACCTCCTTTTTTTTTTTCGTAAAGTTTTTATAGTTTTTTTTTTTAGCTGGCACCACTTCTCTTTAGTAGCTGCTCACTTATTCTGTAGAACCTTCGCGTTAGCCGTTTGTTACTTCAAAAAAGGGCCTCAGTCGTCAACCCCTTTCCAGCTAAGTCAGAGCAACTCTGAATTATCAAAGAGCAGCTCAGAGTAACATTGAGCAAACAGTGAGTACTTTTGAGCGCTGTGAAAAGCTCATGATCAGTCAGTTGTATTCTGTTGAGTGCGGAGTTAGTTGTAGTTAGTCGAGTGCGGGTGGCTTGTGTAGAATCCGGGTTGATGTGACAATTGCTTATCTCTTGAATGCAGGTGAAGGTTGACAACACATGCTCAACCCCGCACGCTAGGAGACACCTTCCGAGCTGCTCCTACACTACTCCAACAACAACAACAACAACAACAACAAACCTTTATTAATAAACAAATAAAATTACAAAAGTATTGCCCGCAGCTAGCAAAGCTATTCGAGGCAAGACAGTGCGTGCAAAACATAAAAATAAAGACTAAGGCTATTAACTAGGAGAAGTTTACAGTTTACGAATAAATGAAATAAAAATCGTAATGTGGATGAGGACTACATAACAGACTAAAGAAAAAAAAAAGAATTAAACAAATAAATTGTACAAGTAAAAAACTAATAAGCACGAATTTATTTCTCGACGTTTTTGGATAATTTTACCTTTTCAGTTAAGGTGGGCATATCAATATAGTCATCTTCTGAATTCAGAATATCAAAAAGTAATTTGCGGTGTGTTTAATTTTTGAACATATTCCTGGGGATATGTTGGATGTGACAGGGTATCTCATTCCGCAGCTTATTAGCCCCAAAGCGAGAAAAAGGCAGTTTATATAATTCTAGATCGGAACTGTTAACATAAAATTGAAATTTCCTGAAGCCGATGCTCTTGTATTGTAGGAGTGGCAACTACTTGTTTTTTTGAAATAGATTTAAAATACCAGAAGGTACCTTATTGTTATGGACATCACGCATAAGATTAGATATAGTCTGTTAATATAAAAAGGTCAAGGGTAAGACGTTGGCCTCAGTGAAGAGAGGTAATGCGTGAAGAGGTCCTGCCTTTTCCAAAGTCATTCCGACCCTTTCTACGCAATTACGCGCGATTTCTGGGCCATCTGATCACGTGACACACCTCCACGCGCAATTTCACGCGCCGCGCGCTTACTCACGCGGGTACAACTGCACTCGAACGAATGACTCTTATTTGGATAAGAAACGATTCTCATACCGCCTGTTTACCCTACCAACATCCCGTCAATTTTCGCGCACTTTTTTATTTTCGCGTTTCGACTTTCGAGCCACGTTTACAATGGGATCAATAGTGAGGTCAACTTGTGTGTTCTTGACTGTGCAAATGAAAGATCCAAATGTAGCCACCGCTCGGTAGAAAACCAAACCGGCCGGTAGAAGGAAAAGAAGAAAGACAGTTCGGCGGCTTCCACTGAGCCGACAATTAACATAGAGAGAGGATGATATAATTTTAACCGCGGTGCAACTGATTGGGTAACCGGTAGTTTTCTTTTGTTTCACGTCTCGTTTAGATTAAGTTTTCCATTTACTGCATTGGCAAACAATTTGTTTTTTATGTAGACTGACTCTACTACTCTGAGAAAATATGAAGCTCTCCACTCAGCTAAGACGAATAGTCAAAACGTTCTTTTTCATTTGCTGTTATTGTCAAACGCCTATCGAAAATGTGTTTTTACACTGTAAAAAAAAATTTCTTTCCGTTGCTTCTTTAATATTCTTTTGTCGTGTCGTTGTTCATTGAGTTTCCCCTTTCGCCCTACACTTTGTGTGCTGTTTTGAACTTGCCCATGGACAAAAAATGAGAAAACAACAAAAAACGAACGCTACGTTGATTCGCTAACTAAAAATATTTCTGATTATTCATCCACTCTCCGGCCAGGGAAATTCCCGCGAAAAACACTATAGGGCTGTCAATCAAATGAGTAACTTTTACTTCCGGTAGAAACGAAAAACCGTCATTTCTCCGCCAATATTTACTCTTTTCGACTTTTTCGTTCTTTCTAATAAAGGTCACGCTAAAACCATTACTATGAGCCAAAAATCAAAATTTTAACAAAATTTTTCATCTGAAGGTATCCGATAACCTTTAGAACTTTTGACAGAAATCGCATAGTACAAAAAGAAAAGAAAAAAATTAAAAAGCGTAAAATTGAAATTCGTGAGATTATCCTTATTGCAAGAAAAATTTCCCCACATTTTTCATTTTTATTTTATTCATTTGTTTTTCAAAATGCAAATCAACAAATTTTTCGTCTAAAAAACGTGCGAACTTCTGCAAAATTTGTCATGTTGATTTAACAACGTAATTCTCAGCAGGCACTTTCATCAAGCACAACAGAGTTAAATTCAAAATGCCCGTTAATTTATCAATCAACAAGTGCTGCGAATGCGCAATTGTTGGAAGACAATGGAAAGTCTATAACGATTATAATTAACCTTTTTACTCCCATCACTCTAACAGGTCGGTCTGGAAAATACCTGTGCGATAGAGATAAGATTTAACTCTTGAGTACTCATATATTCTCCCCTAGCTAAGAAATTTTCAACAATGCTACGTCACGCATTATGAGACAATTTCAAAACTAACTCATCATTGTAAAACATAGTACATAGATATAGCCAAGTCATCATCTACTTGAAAGAATCAAATTGGCATTTGTTTAATCTTAACCAGTACAGTCCTCCCCCCACAAACCCACGTTGGAGGCTACTAGGGACAAGTTTGCTTAGCCGTTTTGGTAGAGCTAGAGAAAACTGCGGAAAATTCCGCGGAAATTTCAAATATTGCACGATTTTCAAAGAACTAGGGCGAGGTACGAAAAATATTCGTGCAAGGGAAAATCGTCTGAAAAGAAGTTGTGACAACATCATTTCTCGGTCCCAGACCTTGTGTCTGGCTCAGAAAAGTTCGTCTGACTTTCTATCCGTCTGCTTCAGACGTCTGAAGATTGTCTTTGGGACAAATGTCGATCACATGCGACAAACTAAACTATAAATAAATTAAAAATAGGCCATTTGCACGATGACGTTATTTTACTACTAAGACCAGAATCCTTCAGGGTTTTCCTTTCTTGTGCAAATTAGGGCTTTGCTATTTAAACCTTGCTGGGAAGATCAAATTTAAATATGAAAGGAAAAACGAAAAGGATTCTGGTCGCAGTAATAAAATGGCGCTATCGGGCAAACGACCTATTTGTATGAAAATGTATACTTAGCCTCGTTCGGGAGAAAATTTATTACTGAACACCCGTAGGCCAGCTAAAATTGCTTTTTGGTCTGATTCAGTTTATTGGTTCGACGTGTCCTAACCAACAGACGATCTACACTTACTTTAGGTCGATCCAAATTAGAGTTTGGTTCGTCTCATGAAAAGTTCGACGTTTGGCCTGGGCCTAAACCTTTGGCTACCATGTTCCAGCAGCGGATCGAGAACGCTAGTACGGGAGGGACCCGGTCATCACGCCCTTTAATTTTCCAGGATCAGGCGCGTCTTATTATCCGACGTGCTTCTACTCTCGCGCAACCTCTTCCCCAGGGCATTTTTCTAGGAAACTGATAAAGGGGTCTAAGGATGAGATTAGTTCTAGCGACGTCCCTTCTACCTAAGAGCCTGGACCAGGCAAGCTTTTGGTCAATTACCTGACGCATCCTCAGGTTTAAGAAAACTTCCAAGCGATGAGGTAGGACCAATCTTCTGCAAGAGAACAAAACTTCAAGAGCTCAAAAATATCAAGATTTCTCAAAATTTCCTTATATACCTACTCTAAGTCCTGGTCCTCATCGGGAACTGTCACATTTTTTGATTGGTTAGTTTCGTTCCTCTTTTTATTTTTTTGTTCTCCGCTTAGAATGGCTTACTCCCAGCTGTACTCCTCGGATGAGCTAATCAGACACGAAAGAATCTTGTTTTTTTTTTTTCTCATGATCAAATTTAAAGTTTTACATGTTAACATGCATTGTTTTTTTGAAAGTGAAAGTCGAAATCTTGTATATTTAGCTCAGAATTAATCAGTCTGGTGGTCTTTACGATAACGGTAGAAACTTACTTTCGGCGAAAGGGTTCTGGATTTCCATTTCCACAGTTCAAGAGCTTTGAACTAGCTGTGATTTTGTTTAGAATGCTTTACACGACATACTATTTAACCAACGTACACTAATGTTTTCCACCACCCAAACGACACAAAGGTCGAAGCGTTCTCACGCCAAATGCAGTTGAATGCATTGATATTGCAAAAACTTTCAAAGAGAGTATTTATATCGCTGAGAGCTCTAACAGACTTGAAGACTATACAAAAGTTTTCCTTGATCAAATCAGTGACTTAGGCGTCACTGAGTTCCTTGCATTTTTTTCGACCGACTAGAGAAGTGTAGCAAAACAAAAAAAAAAGACGATACGGAAATGCACCAATCAGGACACCCGCTTTTGAAATTCAGCCATCAGCGTCAAAAATCCATTGCAATTAAGTACACAATAAGTAAATCTCTTTTAGTCTCTTGCCTTGGAGTTGATTATGTGAAAGTTATAAAAGGGGCATCGAACGGTAATGAGCTTCTGCTCGTATTTGAGCAGATCGTTGAAACATCAAGGCCAGATGGTTTTGTCCTGCTTGAAAGGGGCGACACATTTCTTCCGTCGAGGAAGAAAGAGACATGCTTGCTGAATATGGAATAAATTCACTGTTCCAGCCTCCTTACTCCACACATCTGAACACTTGCGAACTTTATTTTTATCAAATGAAAGCTTTCTACACAGAAATCAAACTTTGACAGAGGTAGCCTTTTTACAGACCCAATATTTTCTCTTCAGAGATCGTCGAGCGCGCGTATGGAAATGAAAACCGCGGGGGAGTCATTGCATGGCCAGCCCTGAAGTACTTTAATCAATGTACTAAGTGAATATGTGACTTTAGACGTAACGTAGTTATCAGCTTGTGCCCGAAGAATTAATGTGGAAATTTTCGCGAATTTTCTTCCACTTTCCATTTTGCGCACCTCATTTGCCAAAGTGTCTCTGGAACTACTTTAAGACCGACGGTTGTCAATTAGCCTGCGAACACAGACGTATTTCCGATCGTCGCTTGGGGCGAGGCGACAATACGTCTGCGTTGACAGGCCTAGGCTTGGTGTCCTAATGGATTTGGACTCGAGCGACTTTGCTGGGATATTTTCGTACCCCGAGTTCTTTAAGATATACATATACAAAGCTGTTGGATCTGGATGTTTAGTTTTCATTTCCTTATGAGCTCACGATGGCGGAAAAACGAATAATTAAAAGAGAGATGGAATAGATAAGGGCCAAGAGACCTGACCACGGAAGCGTTTTCCGGTAAATGTCCTCAATCAAGCATCATTTGATCACATTAAATCTTTCAAAATGACATTCAGGACATTCACTAGCCCTCTACAGATGAGCGACAGTCAATTAGCGTTCTCCAACAATTCCTTTTTGGCGAGCCGTGAGTCGACCGGAGAAACAGTTCCTGGAACAAAAATCGTCACTCCGAGTACGTCAGGGGCAGCCAACGACTGCTTTTTGTAAAATATCTGTACGGAGAAGCAAATATTGTCTAAAATTTTTTATTAATTGAGGACGGCTTAAGATGACCGTTCCATTTATGTATAATTTTCGAAGCTTATCTAATAGACGACCTACGATTTTCTGAAGTTTAATTTTCACATTTCAATTCACTTAGGAGGAAATCGTCGTTGGGTACCCCTGTGAAACAGTGGCGACTGTAAGATTCGCTACGGCATAGATCTACTACGGCTGTTGTAACCGGGAAGGGCTGGGGCGACTACGCGGTCTCCCGCCAAAACTCAAAATGGTTAAGCTACGCTGGGTACGGCAACGTGACAACCGGACACAAAATGTAAACAAACTCGGACGACAGGACTATAGTTTTCCCGTCTAGGTTTTGGTTGATTTCTCTTCAATGGTTTCGTTTAACGAAATGACAGACCTTGCTGTGCTTTCTTATGGCATTAATTTTATAAATGATGCTGAATTTCTGTTGTCATATAATTCGTATGGCTCAGAAAACCTTTATTTGCCATATCATTTGTATCCCGAGTTCGACCTTCAAAATTTTAACGAAGATGAATGTTTGCCAGAATTTCGTTTCAAGAAAGCTTACATCCCAAGGCTTGCACGGGCTTTACAAATCCCTGATGTTATAAGTTGCTACCAAGGAACGATTGCGACGGGATTGAACATTTAGTCTAAATCTGTCGGGATTGAACTAAATGTCACACATCTTTAATAGAATTAAATGAGCGTTCGCTCGCTCTAGCGCCGATAAATTATAAAACTTTTATTCTCATAGCGAAACAAGTTGTTATGAACATCCCTGGCAGATAAGCAAAAAGATAAAAATATTTTGTTTATAGGTACTCGTGAAATTAAGTCTTGACAATCACTTATAGAAACTAAACTTCTATAAGCTTTAATAAGCTCTCTTACGAAGCTTTCTTGTTGCAGCCATGATTATAAGGTATCCAAATCCTTTGGGTTTTCGCTTAAATAACGAAGCAATAATATCTAAGGAATATCTAAGTATGACTAAGTACTTAGTCTTTGAAGTAGGCTTCTCAGAAAAGCGAAATAAGCTTTAAAATGGCAAAGAAATGACAGTTAATACTCACGCAGTGAAGAGTACGGCAAAGAAGGCAATTTGACGTAGCAGAAAACGAGGCTACGGCGGGAAAGCCGTGGTGCAACTCGCGTGGTGACGTTCCGGAAGTGATTTTGATCTTATGTAGCCGTAGTAGCCCCTTGCCGCAGTGAATCTTAAAGCCCCTAGTTATTGGTTGCACAAATACACAGAGGATTTTTACACGGTGGCGCGAAGATATGAATTTTATTTTCGAGTGGCAAAACATGCGCTCGTTCGTAAAATATTGTTTTTGCCTCGAGAAAATAAAATTCATATCCTCAAGCCGCCGTGTAATGTTCTTTTTATTATATAGACAAAAAGAAATCGATAAAATAATAGAGGGAAATTACCGAAATTACGTCATCGATAAACTCACGTGTGAGATTATGGAAAGTAAACCACTCGTGTCCCGGATGTAGTTTTTATGAATTTTACGAGTGGTATATTTTCCAGTAAAACACTCGTGTGTATATAATAAAAAGTACTAATGACTTGTTGAAGAATTATGGTTCTTGCAGGGTCGAGCCCCAAAAACCGTATTCAGTTTCTCATCTTTCTGGTCAGTAGAAGAATAAGTGTAAAAACACTGCACTTAAGGGGTCTCCCTTTGTCACAACCGAGACAAGCATCCAGGACTCCGTTCAAAAATCCAAGACCTATAGAAAGTAAGGTAGTCGAAAAGCTGGAGAGGAGGCAACAAAATACTACACGCGAGTTTGAGGTTTCCAAGGCAGCGAGGGAAAGAGCACCCAGAAGCTTTTTTGGCTCGATGCCGTCGCGGCCTCGACTGAAGAATCAGAACGTCGTCAAATACGTCGACAGGAGTGCATATGATAGGGATCTTATGTTCCTGAAAAAGGTTTTAGGCAACAAAATCTCGCTTAACGAAACATCACCTTAGGAACTGCCTTATATCATTGAACGATATAAGCGGGCGAATGTTGACACTGTCGCCAATTTAGGTAGACCCACATAGAGTAGTAGGATAACCGGCTCTTTTTGAAGAACAAGAGATTTGATCAGGTTGTCAGTTTATTGGTAAAGTTGAAGGTTGTAATGAAAAATTCAGCGAATGCAAATATGGCGGATCTCTTGGTCGGCCCGGGTCAGTCGATAAATATGGTTTCCTTCGAGTTGTTACGTGCTTAAGAGCCTACAAAGAGGAGATCTAACTCCAGCAGAGACGAAAGCTGATTATCTTCGTTTTGCCAAGGTTCTTTTAAAACGAAGAAAGAAATGGATTCAAGCGATTCGACGCGGCGAATGGCGTCACTTTACTATCACAGAGTTAAAAGAACGAAAGTGTGCTCGCTTCACTTCAGAAGAGAAGACTCCCGAAACTATGAGAATGGGTAAATAACTGAAAGATTCATGGTTCTGTTTCAAGTTTACTTTGTCTTTTCTTCAACCAAGGAAAGGTAAATATCCTCGAGAACGTGTGAATCCGCTGTCGCGACTTACCAATCTTTAGGCGCTCTCAGGGACACAACGACAGACAACAAAGCCGAATGTTTTCACAGTCTTCACGATCCTGTGTTCAAGAGTTTGAGCAGTGCCATAAAAGAAGCAATTTTTGGAAAATCGCTTTTAGTTTATCTCGAAACCATTCGACAAGTTGCTAAAATAGATCACGCGCAAGGTCAAATACGATGCTCGAATACTTGCACGCTCTTTCTCTGCCAGAACCTTTTTCCTTCTTCTTACTTTCTTAGTTGGCAACGGTTCCTCTGTTAGTTTTTTCACTGCACTTTGGTCGAGGACTGTTCTTGAAATATGTCGCTTTCTTCTGGTTCTTACATAGTTTCACAGGCCGCGCTTGTAGGCTGAGTAGGATTAACAGGCGATTGTTAGTGTTGTTGTTATATTTTAATGCAGCTGTTTTCAGCGTGAAATCTAAAAGATCTTACAGTCCATAGCGGATGCTCCCGTTCTCGAGAATGTTTACCTTTTGTTGGATAAATAACAGACCATGCAAACATCTTGGAACAGCACCACCTCTTGTGAAAATTATTCCATTCAAATACTTTCGTCAGTCCTCTTATCTAAAGCAAGTGAAGCGAGCACACTTTCGCTGTAAAGTGCTTCCCATCGCCGTGCCGAATCGCGTGAATCCTTAACTTTCGTTGTGAAAAGATCTCGGGAAAGTAAAGGCTATTCCAGCTAGAGGAAAATCTTCTTTTTGGTGGCCCTCAGGCATGCAACAACTCGAAGCAAACCATATCGATCGACTCCATCGCTAAGACCCGCAGTCAAAAGGAGCAGGCAGGCCTCACTAGCCTCGCATTCGCGCAACTAGACCCGGGCCGGCCGAGAGGTCCGCAATATTTGCATTCGCTGTATAAGGGACAGTTTTAAGAGCTGAATTTGTCGCAGTGGACTCGCTATGACCGACCAAGCAGGATTTGTATACATCTAAACCTTATAGCTTTCGACAATGCCAACTGCCGACTCGCCTGTACTGTAAAATGAAATATTTGAGTTGATCAGAATCATATCTGGACTTTTTTTCATGGATTAGATAAATTTCCCTTACAAAATTTGGACTAAGGGAGAAAACTCATCCTACCGTCAGGCTGTTTACAGTTGAGAACACTTTCGATTGCGGCAGGCTTCATATATATTTATACTCGAACTACTTGAATTTGTGACTACATTTTTCTGTAACTAACGTAAATGATCTAATGGACGCGAGCGGCGCCTAATGCAAAGTAAACTTGTCGAACACAAAAAATAGAGCTTTTTACCGATACGGCGGCCATATTGAATTAATTGGATTTAAGGAGTATTATGGGATAGGGTACTCGCATCAGTATTTACGCGCGCTTTTCGGTCAATTTTTCTCCAAGTTTTCCTAGAAAAAGATTGTAATTGGAAAAAAAGATCGTTATGCCGTGTTTGGATGTAATAATGATCGCCTTTTTCACGAGAAATATACATTAAAGTTCTCTTTTTCCCCGAAAAGGGCGCGTAAATACTG